GCTATTATTACTTGCATCATCATATTATATAAATAAAATTTAAGCAATGACATATGGTCACATAGAGTTTAAATATTATTGTTTAATTACATTTGGTGAATATTTATGAGATACGAACTGAATTTTATCATGTTTTACGAAGTCTTATATAGACCCCACTTCTTTACCTTGCTATGGAAGCTCGATTAATACTATGTAATTATTGCTTAAAAATATAATTAAATAAATAGATAAAGAGAAAAGAAAACTTTGACAATTTGTCTTTTTTTCACCTAGATTGGCCATCAAGAAAAGAATAATACACATGGTTACGCAAAGTTGCGCAAATAATTTTGATGCTTAATACAAAGTAGAAGATCTCAGCTTTTCATTCATCTATGAATCATCGTGTGGAGTGACATGGTCTTATACTGAATCATTGACAGAACATTACAAACATCCAAGTTGCTGTTCAAAATTTATTATTTGATTGTACATTGGATTTTAAAAAATATGGAAAAGTTATTGATAATTTGAAGTTCTCAGTACTAAGGTATATGATTACAGATGTTATATTCATCGTGAATTTCAAGTTTAGATGCATCTTAACAAACTTACAAGACATTCTTGTTGACCAAGGAAATGTGGTCGACCGACTGTCGATAAACTATCTGCCTTTCAGTCGAACTTTACCTAATCAGTACTTATTCAAAAATGGAATTTGAGGTCTTAACTTGTGGGACTGTTAATATTTGATTATTATAGAATACAATGTAGCACTTAATTATGTTCATTTAAAAAATAATTTTGATGATTTTGTCCATCCATAACAACCATTCGGCGCACTGTGCAGTGTGGTGAGAAATAAATGATCATTCAAAATATTGTACATTGTATATTGATATTTATTGAAACAAGTTGCATTCATAATATATACATGCAACAAAATTTTAAAAATATTTAGCAATATGCAAATAAATTATGGAACATTTATTGTATCTAAGCATGTATGATGTTCGACTACTTTTGTTGCTAATTATATTCACAAAAAGAATAATCCTCGTGTGACAATGACTTTGACATATATTTTTAAGATTATTATTCTGTATATCTCTCATTTGAACCTTTTTGGCAGAGAGCATCAATTCAATGGTTATGAAGCAGCGAAGTTTCGTATCGCGATTAAAATTTTCATCTGCACTTTCATTTATTGAAATTGTTTCTTGCAATAAGTGTAAATTCGCGAACTTCGTTTAGATAATAGAGACTTACGCTGTGTACAAAATATTCGTAAAGTCCTGGTCTAATAGTTTCAGAATACTAACTCATAATGCACTTCAGTCGTTTTAACATGTCGGGTGCTGAGCCAATTTCAGTGTGTTTTTCGTTCGACTAGCAGAATGAACTCAATATGAATTGAAACTCACGAAGTCACCTTTTATGATACCTGTAAAACTAAACCGCATTTATGTTTACAATGTTTAATAATTTCCATTTAAAAAGTGTAAACATATTGTTTTTATATTGTACGAATTACCAAGTTTAGAAGTTCAATACTGTTGGTCTACAGGGACCGATAAATAAACTTAAAGTGCCATGTCAGTTCCTAGGGACTGACACCGCATCCATCGCGTTAACCTTTCACCCTTTGAGTGCTGAATACTCCTAGACGAAACGATACGTGTGGACGGAATATTTTCTTGCACATATAAAGATCGAAGAATTATGTTAATTCATACAATTAATTACGCTGTAATTAAATTGATATTGTAATTTCTCAGTTATTTTTTATACGCCCGTATCACTCAAATGGTTAATAATGGTTGTTTGGCTTCACAGGCCTTTATATAAAACACCGTAAATTTTGAAACCAACGTTTTCGTTATATAATTGATACTGTTGCTATGCGGAGATATTTGAATAAGTAAAAACAAATAAACACAATAAATTTGTTTATTAGTTGCTGAGAACGAAAATATTTAACATTAATCAATAGTTTTCAAACTTTCATACTTAAAAGTGAAATTCGCGTCCATATTTAAAAGTTAATTTTCTTCTTTTACTGATTATTATATTTACTAGCTAATGAATTGAAATCCATTTTAAACTTACAATTAGATCACCTCCTGTCTTGTCGTACCATCCAACATGAGACAACCTGTATACTGATAAATGCATTCAGTATTTTCAATTTAAACTTTTGTTGCTCACATGGAAATATTAATACGGTGGGATCCCGGATTTACGTCCTAATTGATTCTCGAGTTGACGATGTAGTCAGAGAAGGATGTAAGTCGGGGTACACAGGTTAGATATGTATGCATGTATGCGAACATAAATATCTGTACATGAATTTATCACATTTGGAGATACATTTTCTTCTAAATGTATAAAAATAATAGAAGAGGTTACATTTAACAAACGTTTACGGATAACCAAAGAGATCACGATGTTCACGAATAATACTGTAACGTACTGGATGGCTTTCTTTTATAGCCATTAAAATACATTCTTTATCTTTAAAAAACGTCCTCACAGTTGTTTCTTTACAAATTTATTTTTTAGTTAATATAATATCAAAACCTTGTATTCCACTATCTAAAAGTTTGATTATTTCTAATTTAGTTTATAAATTTATACTTTATATTTTTAACAATATAATTTAAAGATGGACATCTGGTGTCTTTACACATACGTAAATAGTGGTCCTAATTCTCGATTAATTTGTACTTATCTGCTTAAATTTACTATAAATATATTTCTGTAAGTTCGTAAACTGTGTATGGACTATATAATCTAAAATTATTTACCGATAAGTAAGTTTCAGACTGATTCAGTTAAAACTAGCCACGTGGAGCGAGAAATATCTCTTTTTCTTTTTGTTTTTTGTTTTTTGTTTTCCGTTTGAAATGTTGGCAAACGGCTAGAAATATTAAAATTGATTATGCGAAGCAAAGTGCTAGGTAGGAAATATGTAATTTAGATGATGGAAGAAATCGAACGTCAATAAATTGGTTTTGGTTTCATTTACGTGATCACTTTGCCAACTATACGATTTATTGTAAACTTTATTACAAAGTTTACTATGATGCCTCTTGAAAGTTAGTATATTGTTTATGTAGAAACAAATACAGGTTGATTCACGCAACTGTTACAAGGCATATTTTTCTTCAAATTGAACTTACAAAAAAAATGAATGGTATAATATTCTCCATATATAGCAGTATCTTTTAAAAACATGGAACCTACCTCTTCCTTCAGATGAGAAGAATCCCCTTCCCATTCTACGTGAAAAAGTATTATGGTAATATCGAAAAATTATTATTTAGCGAGTTATTTTGAAAAGAATATCTGTATTAGAATCAATGCTCAAATATCGTGATCCAAACACTTTATAAAACTTTCTCACTTATTTTCATAATTTTTTTTCATTAAGTTGATATTCTATTATTGCTTTATATGTTGCTGGTAGGCATGAATATAGTTTAGTTTTCATGAAATCACATAGAAAAATATGTAAATGGTTTAAATTGGGTGAACTATTATATAAATTGTTTGCAAAAACAACCGAAGAGCGGTATGAGGGCATAATACGTATTTGCGTAATATCTATTCTTGTAATAGATTTTTTAACATTTCCTCCAATTTTGTCAAAATATCGTGCTAATAGCTTTTTGTGCAGAATAAAAAGATAATTCATCCCATACAAAGGAAAAGGTAAGTTGGAATTTAACAAAAATATTGCAACTGCTAGTGGCACATATAAAAATCTGCGACTAAATGAATTAATATATTTTTCCTAATTTTAACCAGAAAAACGGCGTAACTTGTAACAGTTGCATGAACCACCCTGTAAACCTTTTGTTCGGAAATGAGTAACACACTCGACCTTTTAAATCTGAAATGTAATATTTATTCAGTTTTATTATTACGAAATATTTTTGATCGGTGCGCATTTTAATTTGTCTGGGAAAATAGCTTCTATATGACGTTTGATGGTTGATTCACGATGCAATGCATGTCGTGAAATTTAAAAATGCGCAGAATATCAAAAATTTATTTTGTCAATTTGTTTCAGCAAGAGATGTAAATTTCTGCCATAAAAGAATAAATAACTGAAATGATGCTGAAATGATTCAAATAAACTAGTTTAAAAACAAAGAAATATACGACATATTACGTTCATATTATGTTCAGATTAATATTCATTCCTTTTATAAATAAAACGGTAGTTTCGATATGACAGAATGAAACGCCGACAAACTCCACAGAATCGATGTCCGTTTAAATGTTTATTTTCCGAGAGCTTACTTACAAATTCTACTAATATATTGAACGCCGAAGCCCATTTGAAACACAGTTAATGACTTTGTACGAAATGAACGTTGTAATCGTCCGCTGGCGGCGCTGAAACTTTATTTCAGTCCTTCTCCTTTTTACGTAATCGATACAGAATCTAGGTCGACAGTCCGAGACTTTCGAGGATCGGAAATTTTTCTCGTGTTCAGGTAAATTGATACGAACGACAATTAACCCGAATATCGAAATAAAAGAAGGGCGAGCCAGATGGCGGACAGGTAGTTTCTTCGCCAAGTTCCCGCCATGTATACCTTACTCCTGTTTCTGTGGTTGCAGCTCGCGCCTGTCGCGTTGTCGCAGCAATTCTTTTTACTGCAGCGTAAGTATACTCTATCTTCATAAAGAACATTAACTGAGTAAAAAGGTTAAATCACTTGCAAGAAAAAAAAATGTATCGTCTCAAGTGTTCTTCATGGGTTGCAATGCACACTACAATGAAAAATTATAATTATTGTTTATTATTGGTGGGTTTCATTTACAAATCAAAATGTCTACTCGCACTTTAATTCACCATGATAATTTGCCTTTACTTTTTTACCAGTGTCTAGCATAGCATTTCTTTTTTCTTCGTGTTCAATCGTTCCCGATTCGAGGAAGCCTGTTAAATTTCATCGAAACACGTCGAGCAACGTTACGCTCTAATTACTATTTTCCCAATAACCATGCAAGTGGAAACCGTAATTCAGCTATTGATTCTTTTAGTTGATGACGAGAGTCGTATTGTTGGTGGCCAGCCAGCAAGTATCGATGATCATCCGTACCAGGTGAGTACTCGGAGCGCATGTAGTTGGTTAACCACGACTAACGAACTGTAACGATTCAAACCTTCGTGCAATAAATCGCAAGAGCCTATTTCTTTTAGTATGATTGTTACTGCACGAAGTATAATAATGATCGAATACTATAGATAATTATCGAACGATTATAATTATGAATAAGATTGGATAAGATTTTCGATATTGAACATTTCGAGTTTAGATCTGAAGTAAAATGAAATATTTGTATTTATATATCTGCGGTCAATTTTATTGGAAATGAACAAGAGACTTCATCGTTGTCCGATAGAAATGAAATACAGAGATTCCGATAATAACAAGCATTTTTCATTTCAATAGACGATAATCAGTTTACCTTTCATAAAACTCCCCGGGTCTGAGTACAAAAGTAATGCAAATTCGTGCTTAACACGGATCCGCTGATTATACGGGAGAGTATTGTGAATTTCATGGGTGTCGGGGCCGATGATTCGCAAAATTAATACACCAGCGAAATTTATAGGTGTCTCTTCGATATAATAATCGTCACGTATGCGGTGGCGCTATCATTAGCGAACAATGGGTCATTACAGCCGCGCACTGTGTCCAGAGGTACGTATATTTTTTTGTCAACCATGCATAGAATCATTTATAAATCACGTTACTTTCCACAATCGACACTGAAAGTTTCATATAAATTGAAGTTAAAAAGTTTATAATAGGATTTTCAGTGATTTTGTTACTGGGTTAAATAGCTAATATTTATTTTAGTATGCAATTCAAATGTAGACCTTAAACACAACTAGATATGGTATATATAACTAGAACCGTATATATACTGTTTACGAGTACAATAAATTAATCGTTCTGTTGGCGATAACCACCTTGAATATGAGTGGCAAAAGTTTTTGTCGACGAAAACATGTAATCACGTATAATTAAAGCGTAAAATGAAATATGTACTAGAAAGCATTACTATTATTTGTGCAAAGTACAATAAGAAATGGAACTGCATGTAACACTTCCTATTTAAACCTTCGAAATAAATCAAAATAAATTCAAAATATAAAATAAATTTTCTTCCTTTAAAACCTGATTCCCAAGAGAATCAAGTCAAACATTTGTAACATTTATTTATTATAATATTGTTGCTTAAGGTTTTCTCCTTAAAAAAAATACAAGTTTGAACATGTTTCGTTAACAGTTCTATAAGTATAGGTAATTTCGATAAATTTTCAAACTGCATTATCTGGAAAAGAAAATTTCAAACGAAGAAGGTTTATTTTTTTAACGTGTCTTTTTATCTAGAATAACTTCCATTGCTGCTTGTCTCGCTAGTTACGGAATACTCTGCATATGCATGCGAACATTGCTTCCGTTCAATAATACTCTTCCGTTCTAGAGCTTTCGTTCCATTAATTTCGATAAAGGCTGGGTCTTCCAATCTGCGGGAGAATGGGATAATCGTCGAAGCTGAAGAAATCATTAGCCACGAGATGTACGATCCCAGAAACTCTGATTACGATATAGCTCTAATTCGGGTGAGTGGCGTCCACATTTAGAACTGAGTCGTAAAGTCGGATCGTACGATACAGATTCACGTTAGCCGATATGTCGGTAGAACGATCTAAGAAATTAGGCCACAGGATATATATATTTATGTATTTAGGAAATAAATATTAACCCATTTGCATCATACGAGAAAGTGGAAAATTGGTCCTCACCACCACAAACGTTTCAATTGCATCAAAATAAAAATAGTTAAAGGTATAAAAAATTAAAAACGGAGTGACGTGAACAAAAAATTCGTAATTTTATTTAGCGCAATAAAGTTGATACACACACACACACACACTTATATATCAATATTGATAAAATATTGATTTTTAAGTAAAGTAAAAAAAAGAAGAATTATATGTTTATCTGAAAAAATAAAGAATTCATTGTTGGAAGAATTAGTATCATTTCAAGCTTTAATATGATGCGCATACACGTGAAACGCGGTTAACTCCTTAACCCACAACAATAGAACTTCTATTTTAATTAAAACCTCTGCCAGGATTTCTTTCAATCTCCCATTTCAAACTCGGAAGATCTTCGTTTCGATATCCTCGATTTAACACGATAAACCTCTTAAGCTATTGTTTCAAGGAGAACCGTTTAAACTTTCCATAAATTGCTCGTATTCTCTGTGGGTTTAACTCGGCCATTGTTTACTTTAATAAGTACTACAAGCGTCCACATGATTCGCCCTCTTTCTGTTCATTCGTTATATTGTTTCCAAAGGATCGCCGTCCCTTCCGTCCCATCGTCTTCACGTTGGATCCGGTATTCTTTCCGAGATCGTATCGGTTCACAGTACTGTTTGTAAAATCGCAAAGAAAATATAGGATCCACCGATATTGTGCCGACAATATCGCGTTACCGGGATCCCTGGCTAGTCAAGTAAATAACAAAGGAATAAAAGCGGGTTGTTGCGCAATAGTCGGGGGCGGAGGGCGGCATTCCGTTGGATCGAAAAATCGTGTCGTAACGGCGAGGACCGCAACCGATCTCGAGTAAACTGAGTTCCCGATCGGTGAAGTTTATTTATTAACGGGGAATACGTGTCTCCCGTCGAATAAAGCCGAAGAATTCAATTACCGTTTCACAATCAATTCCGCAACGGTCTACATCAGTGATGCACAACCTGCGGCCTCTGATGAGTTCACGGCTCGGTTTAAAATTTTTTCTATCTATTGATCTTTCGCGGCTTATTCAAATTTTGTTCTTTTGGGAAACTGTTTAGGATTATGTTCCAATTATATGATTTGCGAGAAAATTCAATGAACTAACACGTTGACCGACAAATCAACATTCACAAAATCCCATATAGTCGAAACGGTTTTTTTTTTACACACCGCCCTATGATTTCTTTCACGACTGCGCAGGTTAGAACTATTTTATTTTTAATCTTTTACTGGAAATGAAAGAGAATTCCATGTTCTACATTTACTCTAAAGATGAAGGATTTGTAAGAGAAAAATAACATTTAATATTAATTCAAAGGAATGGAATGACGTTTAGGTTGAACAATTTCTGTGTAAACTCATAAATCTGACAGGAGATTGTAACGCAAGGGGTTAATGAAACAGAAATGAAAAAGACAAGATTTTTCATGTCGATTGCTCCAGTGTTCTTACTGTTTTCATACGTCTAACAAAATTCGGTTTGTCCCATACGTCACCAAGATCGTTAATTTTTCAGTCTACATATCTCTAATCAAAGCGTTAAAAGTATGTATACAGTGTGTCTCACGAACTCTGTCCATTTAAATATTTTGGTTATTTCAACTAATATAAGAGAATGTTACTTACAGAACTTGTAGGATTTAAGAAACTACTGCTATAAATGTTATGCTATAAATGTTATAATGCAATGTATTTTTTATATTAGATTTCGATAGATTTGCATATTGTAATTATAAAGTATTATGGTGCATTTGTACTAATATATATATATTTCTTTTATTCTTTTATGCTTAACACTTGTTCATTTTACTCCCGAGGTAGAGAGGAAATTCATTGTTGCGGTCTACGCCGGATACACGATGTTGCTTATAATTTTTTAACACTTTGATTACTATGTCATCCAAATTTGGGTGACACAATCTTTTAAAAAAATTTATAATTTGGTCATCTCTGCTGAATATAAAAAAAAATCAAATTTTCTTGAATTTATGGAATGTATGAAAATTAACCTCTCCGATCAGAAGGGGTGGTAGTCCGCATGTCTTCACGCGCGGTCGATGTGTTAAAATAAATTTTGAATAATAATAATAATATTTCTTTCCCAACATTATATTTAAAAAAAGGAAATAAGAAAATTATTGTGCAGCATACTAAAATATTATTATGAAAAAGTTTTTGTTCAAAACATACACTATACTTAATGCAAAGATGGAAGTTTGACTGCACACAGTAACTAGTAGCTTGGCACACTGTACCGACGTCGCCCTTGAGGGGTTAATTCTTTTAGTGCTGATCGAGAAAGTTGTAAGCAATCGAAGGATACCGAAGCAATTTGAAGCAATTTAGCGAGGCTTAAGAAAAAATCATAAAAAGATAAGGATAATATTTATAAAATTCAAAAAGGAACCTATTACGAAATAAAAAGCAAATGAATATTTGTTGAAAATAATACTAATAATAATTATTGAAAATCATTAGTAAAAATGAAAAAATCAATTTTTTTTACAAACAGTATTTTCAAGTAAGAAGAATCATCGTTTGATCATAGTTTGATATAGAAAATGTAGTATAAAGCATAAATACTGTATTTTCAATTAGTTGTAGCATAGTAACTTGTAAAAGTAACTACAAAATTATTTGCAGCAAATCCCCCGTGTCGAATTTCTACCTAATTGCTCTAGCGTATATACAGTCCCGGTATCAATCATCGCGAAATATGACAAAAAGTTAAACCTATAATCAATTTTTTCAATTTGTGGGACATCTCACATAGAGCATTCGAAGATGAATTTAACCATTTACGACGTTTTATAAATTAATAGTAATAGTAAGTAACGAATAGTAAGACACCATCGTATACGCAACGACATATCATCGTTGGCACTTTCCGCAAGTGTTGCTAACAACGATATACCGTTGTTCGGTACTAGAAGTGTCAAGAGAGCATTCGTTGTGAAAGGTCTTAACTTTTCAGTGTATCTTCTATTAAAAAAATAATGTCTGTATATAATTTTGACGAGTGTCGATTTGCCAGTTAACGTGTTATACGTAGTTTGAACATCATTGGTCTACGTACAGCTACTACTGATCGCCTAGTAACCTGAAGCTAATTACGATTTTCAGTTGAAAAAGCCGCTGGAATATGACAGCAAGGTGAGACCGATCCTCCTGGCACCGGTCGCCGATTATTACCAAGCTGGTACCAAGGCGATGGTTACCGGCTGGGGAGTGACGAAAAGCAATGGCCAGCTGTCCAACCAGTTACGTAAAGTCGAGGTGCCGCTCGTCTCTAACACCGATTGCGCAGAGCTGTACGGGTTCCGGCCCATCACGCAGAGAATGATTTGCGCCGGTTACGTAAACTTCGGCGGGAAGGACGCGTGCCAGGTAATTGCTTTCATTAATCGCAGCTTAGACGCGTGGCATGGGCAGCAACATGCGTTATCGCGGGAACCCCCCTGGTAATCGTACCACCAGGCCTTACGGGTTTCAACCGCGAAACCTGCTGATTGCTGTTACACGCGACGGACTTGTTTTTAGCTGTCTCGCGTGTATCGGCGATTATGAAAGGGGATCGAGTTAATAGCCACTAGCTATCGATTGTCTTGTGAAAGAATTTCTTATGATGAAAGCAATCGGTTTTTCTTACAAGGAAAGGTATCGAACCAGAAAATTAAAAAAATTATGAAACTTTGCGTGCGAGTAGAGTAAATCAAGCCTAACACATTGCAATTCTTTTTACTGCCGAATTTTACTTTGACGGGGTAAAACCGCGACTTGAAAAAATGCAAATTTTTCTTCTCGTGGATTATCTTAAGAATGGTAAGAGATAGGGGAAAAGAGTTTTAATGAAAAATACTTTTTTCTTTCACATATGTAAAATTGTACAATAGAATAAAATTTTTGGAAAATTTATATTATTTTTTTTAATTTTGAAAAATTTGAATTTTTTGTAAAATTTTATTTTTAAATTTTATAGACGTGAAAGGAAAATATATTTTTTTATTTAAATTCCCGTTTGCTGTTTCGTACAGTTCTCAAGGTAATCCAGGGGAAAGAAAATTTGCATTTCTTTCAAGAGGTGGTTTCACCCTTTTAAAGTGAAGATTTGGCACGAAAGAAACTGTAATGTATTAGGCTTGACTTATTATACTTACACACAAAGTTTCATAATTTTTGGAATTTCCGGGTTCGATACCTTTCCTTGTCAATAGTTATGTGTTATCTTGTGTTTTGGAAATGTTATTCCGAGGTACTGTACATAGATTTGAACTATTGGCAATGGTACAGATTTTTAAAATGCACGTTGTACATGGAATTTTCGAAATCATGATATACTGAGGTGGGCAATCATTTTCTAATTAATTTTAGATAATTTAATGAAATTAACATTACATTGTTATCATTAATCTATATTTTTCCTCGCTGGTCAATTTATTTCAGAAAATATGGGAAATGGAAAGTCTATCTTCACAATCCTTTAATGACTAATTAAATTTTCCTCTAAGTCCTAAAACCCATTTTTAAAAAAATATATTTATTCAAATATTTGTGATTTCATAATAAAATTTTAATCAATTTTTTTATCTCAAAGATAAAATACAGGTTGGAGGTACAGCTTGTTTTCATTTAAGCCTTATTTATCGACAGATATTAGTGTCTCCACAATCCTTGGAAGAGTACAAAATTATTGATACAACAAGCACCGTTTTCTTTATTTCATGTACCTGGTATCGACCCGACAGAACCTTTTATACACAAATTTGCAGTCAAATCGGCTTCTCCCCGGTAAGACTGTCTTTTAAGTTACTTCACAGAGATACGTTAGCTTTCAAACTTAAATATCTTACATTCCTTGTATTTCGATATTTCTCCGACTTATTCTAGTATGAAATATCTTCTCTGCAATCTCAAGTTTTCCTGTCAGATCGCGGAACCGTTTCGACTAGTTTGAACATACTCGAGAAACTTTTTGATATATACGTGAATCAAGTACCCGAACGAAAGTTGACACAAGTTGTTTTATAAATATTAAGCGACGAATAACCGATGCCGCGATATTGACGTTCGTTACGCGGAAGAGGGCTCCGCCACGTCATCTTTGTTTTCGTCTTATCAGCTTTCAATTTTCGTAACGACGCGAGAATTGCCGAGAATTTCAGGAGTGAAACGTTCCACGGTATCGTAGAACGGAAGGAGCGGATAATATATCGCGACCAGCTGTATCGATTTTCCCTGGATGTATTTCGAATATCTTGTCCGGATGGCCCCCGAAACAGCGCCGTTAACCCTTTACAGTCCAATTATTTGTTACTTTCTTGTGTTCGCTGGCCGGATTTAATTCAATGATACTTCTACTCGTCCTCGTTCGATATCGACTGAACTCGTGTCTCGAATGTTATACTTCTCTTCGATATCTCCCTTTACGTTCGAACGGTACGACGGGCCAGTTTGAAACTGGATGAAACAGTCAAAATTATTTTTTCATTGAATATTTCAAGTCCACTGCACTGGGCGATTTTAGACGATACATTTGTTATTATAAGTCTTCGGTAAGAAGTTTCTCAGTTCCATTATTTTCTATTGGTATTAAATTTAGACGGCTTTCGTTATTCCAAAATAATACAAAAACGGTATGTGAAACGGTCGTATATATTTATTCTTAAAGTAACCAGTCGAATAACTGGTTACAAAACATGGTAAACAAGTTAGATGATAAATTTTTCGTAGTAGAAACGGAAGCAAAAGGAAAGACAGAGGAAAAACTGATTAATCAGATAATATAGGAATCGATGTAAGTTAAATGACCGAAATAAAACGCAGAATATTTAAAAATCGGGCATTTGGATAGTATGCGAACAGTTAGTATTAAAGGGGTTGAATATAAAGGGTTGAATGAGGTTAAAGAAATCGTTAAAAGTATACAGAAAAAGATGAGTAGAATCAGGATCATCTCAAGGTTAGCATTGTTTCATGATTGCAATAATTCTTCGAGCTTTAAAATCATAAGAATTTGATTTATCCTCTGTAGGGATATACTTTTATACTATTTATGTATGTATAAATTAAGATATAGTTTCTCAGATGATTTGCTGTTCAAATCTAGATCGTTTCTTTTAAACATATGTGTGGTAATACTATTTATAAAGCGTGCTGTAATTATTGATATGAACAAAGAGAAAATTGTTCTATGTGCAAAATAAGTTAAAATATAGAACAAAATTTATGCACTTAAAAAGTATTCTATATGGAAAATGTTGAAAATATAAAATTAACTTTTTTCGCTGAAAATTTGTTTTCTTCTTTTAAGACCAGTTTAATACCTTATTTACCACAATAACATTTGGCTACCTGCTGACGGGATATATTTCAAATTAAAGTTTTTTGATAGCATGTCTTCAAATAAAAGAATTTTAATCTATATCTTTTATTTATTTTCGCGTGTAAAATAACTCGCAGTCGATTGCGTCGCACGCTCGATAAATACTAATGTTTTGTTTTCTGAAAAATAAAGTCGTGAATGGAAAAATATTATTGCATGTTGCCGACTTATTTTTTCATGGAGATTTATATGCCTCCCGGTTGAACAATCATAATACAGAACGCCATGTATTTACTTATGTATACATAGAATCATATATGTCAGCAGAGTACACAGGACGGAGTGCAATAAATCCAACAAGTTATATTTTAAAATCGTTCAGAACTATTAACACTAGGTTTACGGGCGTTTGTTATACATATATCTGTTGCTAGCTGCTGTTCCTAGCAAAATGGATATTCATTTAGATCTTGGAAGTTAGGGGTTGAAAAATAGACGATTAGGATGTATACTCGTGCAGCTGCATCAACCAAATCCATGTAAACATGCATCAAATAATGTTTATAAAATTCAATATGCGGCGTCAAATTGATGCGTTTCGTAGACCTAGTGTTAACGGGCCAGGTAATTATTTACAACACTGATTCCTCATCGATTTGTGATCGATAGTTTTTCAGATATTCGCAAAAAATAGTCCAGGAATGGAGAGTTGTCGCACTTATTTAGAAAAAGAGTAACCTTTGTATGACCATCTTGGCAGACATTGTTAAGGTCATTGTTCCGTACATCCACGATTTTAAACTTTTTGACAGTGGGTGTTGGTCCTAAAGTTATAAAGCATTAAAGTTTCTTATTGCGCTAGAAATTTTCGTCATTTTTATTTTTTGAAATTGTTTGCTATCATATAAGTACACGAGTTTCACTTAGCTAATAGGGATTGGTATTAGTGGGGCTAGTTTATCCGGGGTGGGGGTGTACTTTTCAACCCCCCTCCAGTCCCTCACAACATATTTCAAGTTCATTAATTCGATAAAGAATCAGTATTGTAAATAACTACCAGGGGCCAAAAAAAAATGAAAATTGTATCTCATGGGCGTGGGTAACAGTTTCATCTTCATGTATTCTTGGTTTTCTCGTGGAATCGTATATTTTATGCGTAACGGTAAAATCTTTACTGACAACATTCTATTTTACTGACAGGGTGATAGTGGCGGACCAATGGTGCAACACGACAAATTAATCGGGATCGTGTCCTGGGGTATCGGATGCGCACGGCCATCTTTCCCCGGGGTCTACACGCGCATCACAGTGCTTCGTAGCTGGATCACAGAGAAAACTGGTTTATGAGAGCACTGCTTTTGTCTTCGGCATAAAAATTGGCCGAAGCGCAATCTCTTAAATTTTTCGAACGAGCAAATACCCCGAACCCGCGTTGTTGCTCCGCTGACGTTTTTGTTAGCAAAAAGAATTTATCTGTTCTGCGGGTTCGTCGAATTCATTTATGCGGCCAGGTCACGCGGTGAAATGCAATATTCAGTTTCTGTAGTTAATTAAAAGTCCCGTAATCCATTGACACCGTTATTTATATAGGCATACCAGTATCTTTTAAAAGATAATCATCAGATTGAAAATTATGAAGTGAGATTAATTCATTGATGCGTTCTGTACAGTCCTCTTTCTTATAAGTGCATTCCTTATATTGTTGGATAAACTTCTTGATTCTATTACTTGCAAAATATTTTTATTGTAAATTTAACCCTTTGTGGATCGAATTATTTTGCAAAGGCCTGTCGAATAATACCCAATAAGAAATCGTATTAAATCTAAGCTAAGTGGGGTATTTTAAAAGATGTAGCCCCTGCATTGACATCAAAATCCCACAAGTATATTTACACTTTCGCCTGAAAAATAATAAAAATAAAACTATCAGATAAGTTTGCAGTTCTATATTATTACAACATATTAATTTTACAATGTTTTACAAGGAAATAAAGTTTTATAATGATTTTCAAATGATCTTCATTTTTACGAAGAAAAAAAAATGTTAAACTGTGCTGTGAAATCCAATACATATAGCTAAATCGAATAAGTGATTCACAAACAACAGAACATGTTCACAAAATAAAAACGAGACACCTAGAAATCTGGGGTATACATAATTATACGTGAATTTGATAGATAAAGTAAATCCATGTTAACCCTTTTTCCTACAATGCCGTGTTACACTCGCGATGAAAATATTTATTTATTATTTATATATTTTTAACATAAATGAAATATTATTTGTCTACATCATTCTTTAACCTATAGAATGAACGTTGTATACACGATCATGTATACACGATTACGATCTTCAAAGTGTTAGCTCTCACCGTACTGCGTCTCCGTTGATGACTATTATGTTTTTTACAATCATTGCATTGTTCAATTATTCAAGATGCGAAGTCTCACGAATTATTAAATTTATTCTATTTCTCATTAGTGATACAACGTTGCAAGAAACTTGTTGAGACGGACTATAATCATATAGAGAAATTATGTACCATTAACATGCGTCACTGAATTATCTGTCTTATAATTTTCAATGTGATACTTTTTGAAATGTTTACAAGCATGTTTCGTATCTTTCTGTAAATGACTGTTTATTACAAATGAATGAATTATCGCGTGTATGCGAAGGTACAGCTGCCTTTCGGAGTATTTTTTCCTTGAATCACTCGCAATTGATGCGGGAGTAAACGAAGTCCGATAATATCACTACATTTTACATTGAAATAAATGTCAGCGTCCGGTTTTCAGTGTTGCCCGTTTGTTTAAACGCCGGAATACGTAGCCAGGTCGATAGCGAGCCGTTCGTGGTAACGGTTCCTAATGTATGAGCGTAACAAGTGGTCCCATAATTGAGCCTGTTATTTCTCATCGAAACTACCAGATATTTATCCGTGCATTTAGCGCGCAAAGATATTATTAGTTCGCTAATGAACGAGGCGAAATCACTGACAGCCAGTTTTTGCCTTTCACTGAAATGAGTCACCGGCTCGTAGTAAAGTACGAGCACGACGAAACCGCTAATTAGCCGGATAATCGATACTCCTTCAGGGGTCTAGGTGCACGTACTGTAAATTAGTTCGAGCCTGTGTAAATGTTATCGCGAATTTTATGTGCCTCGAGTGCGACTTGTCTCGCTTTTATTGAAGTCGCTACGTTAACATCGACTGGGTCGTTTATTTTGAAAGTGGTGTAAGTCCATTTTCTTTTGTGTCGAGGTATTGAAGGAATTTCTGTTTCCATCGATTGAAAAATTATAGTAGGTTTACTTACAAAAGAAATCCGAGTGATCGGTATACACCGATTACGCTGAAACTTTGCGCAAATGTTCATTAAACTTACGTGGTTGAAATAAAAATTGTAGCGTTTTCCGAGACCTATAAACCTATGGAAGAAAATGTTTAAAACAGTCGTTTTCTGTAAAAATTAAATTAAGAAATTGATTCGATGAATAAACGTCTCGCGGATATTTAAAGGTTTCAAGAAACTATAACTTTTAGTTCAATCATTTTTTAATATTTTCTATTAATTGTTTATAATATATGTATATATCACACACAAGGACTTGCTTCGAAAAAGGATTGATTTTTATCGTAAAGTGAAAAATGGACACGAGCAAACTACTACCAACATGTGAAATAGATCTAATGAATATTTATCCAAAATTTCATCATAATCAATGTATATAAATCAACGGTTTTTTTTATTAGTTTGTTGGCGATTCTATATTGCATAATTTTATTTAAGTAGATGTAAATTCATTATAGAAATAAACTTTTTGGAGAGTTAACTAGTAGACTACCATGTTTATTAAGTCCATAAATTAAATGCGTCATATCAGTTTTAAAACAAACGAATATCGAATTCCATTTAGCAACGAGATTCCAATTGATGAAAACAAATGAATTTTGTAAGGAACTAAATTACAAAGTGATTAATAAAAATAACTTGTTTACATTACATTATATGTTAATTTTTCGTTGTCTCAATTAAAAACAAATGGATTTACACTACTCTCAGAATGAATAATTCAATTATTGATGTTCCGTCACGGATACTCGGTATTTATATGACGATTGAATAAAAGATCACTCTGACTTATAGCACAAGGTTCCGTTTCTCGTAGTATTATGGAATGAATATTTGCTAAAGATACTATACACATATTTGTGAATGTGACAAGCGGTAATTTTTATTATTAAGTTTGATTGACAAAGTAATAAATGTTCTTAGTTTTTACCAAATATACATAGAATAACATAGTGCTTACCTATATGTAAAAAAAATAAACAGTTATTAAATAGCATGATAAAGTATTGGAAAGTTCTTATAATGTTAAAAACGGAGATGACAATTATAGAAACTGCCGAAAATTTCTTCCTGCAGTGGACAAAAAGATGAAACAGATCCTCGAATTACTGTTCAGTTTTGATGGTCTGTGTTAATGAGGGAACAAACACATTCGATAGTACATATTATCATTATTACATTTTTATTGTATTTGTTTTTACCATTAATGAAAGTATGCGTATCCAATAAACAAATAATATTTATATGAGAACCTTGGTTTAAAATACTGCTTGCCGCCATTGTATAAAAGTTGCTAATTTTAAAGGGTAACTCGCTTTTTTCCATTTTCTGGCATAATTGGATTACAGGAACACATCCCTGAACATACTTTGCACAAATTATGTTTCAAACATTTTTTGCAGATTTTTTGTCATTCACATTTGAATGACAAAGCTCCCAAAGAAAATATATAAGCAGTTTTGTATATAGGTTTATGTCATTCATATATAACTGACGTGACACTCAATACTAATTGATCAAATACTTTATACCACGACTATTATATTAATACAATACCAATATTGTTACACTAATATAAAGTACATCATCCTTAATGAACAACAAACATTCATTTGACATTGTGTTGAACAAGAATACCTTGATAAATAATATACAATAATTATAACTGAAAGCAATCATTCGTCTGTATTTATTTATATACCTACATAATCACATTGAAACCAGTTAGCGTTAAAGCAAAAACAATATAATTTGTAATTACGACGTTCACTTCTTGCCAACCAATACATTTAGAAAAACACATTCGATACTTCGAAAACAGCATATTTTACCTTTCTCTTCCGTCACGATGGTATTTGCTTATATCGAAAGGCATGGCAGAAATCTGTTAAAATACTTCCTCGTCGTCAAAGGAATGCAAATAAAAGGTAAATTGCGTCGAGAAAAATGAAATAGCGGTAGCTATAGCAACAGGAAATCGTTCGTGCCCGCGGAATAGGAGTTTCATTCTCTTGGCTCCATTATATTACCATAAAACCCTTTGCAGCGTTCCAGAAATTTGTGAAGTTACGAGAGCGTCACGAGGAGGAGGGCGAGGTTCGCGAACATGCGGAAATTTCTTCGTGCCTTTCGAATGGTGGCGACGGCGGCGGCGGTGGCGGGTTTAGCACGGGCGCGGTGTTCTTGGTAAAGGTTAGCGGTGTTGACATTGTAGTTTCACGAATATCATCTCATGTATAGCAGATGCCGGAATTCGCAGAGATCCACGCCAGATAACTGCTGACACGGGTATACACGCCCGGATGTATCATAGTTTTACACCCTAATCCATAGGATAGAATGCCAATCAGCGTCTGGGCTTCCATCAGCGGAGCACCTGGATCACCCTGCAAGTAGACGAGGGTTGACAGTATCAGTGATTACTCGCAGCAGCGCTCTTGCTGATTTGCTAATGCATTGCTGATTCGAAAAGAGGATGACGTCCCTCTCCACGATTTGTTCCTGTCAACACGTCAACCAATTCGAGCTGATTCCAATCATTCGTAAAATTGGATTTTGTTCGAATCAAATTTCGGCCTTAACACTAGAACTACCATACCGGTCAAACTGACTGATTGCGGTTTTCTTGTTTCGCATTTATTGATACCTTGAAAGCATTGAACATCCGAAATGATTTTACAAATAAATCGTTTCACATGAATATTGTAATGAATGTCTGAAGAAACTGAACATAATCTATTGTTACAATTTTTATAGGAATTACATATCAGTCGTATTAACCCCTTGCCCTATGATATCTTTTTCAATTCTGTTCGATACGATTACTTTGTCATTAGTAATTTATTGGGAAAAGAGAAAAATTGTAGGCATATTCTATGTATATGATTGCTCTTAAGTATAATAATTGATTACAGAAAAATGTTTACATTGAATTCGACTAAATCGAGTAATATTTGTGTTTGTTAAGTGATGTTGAAAATCTTCATCACGAATCTGACACGTTGTTATAAGGCAAGTGGTTTAATGCTCGGTAGTGCTAGTATTGTGGTGTGTCAAATTTCGCGTCATAGGAATAATCGTATGTTCTAGGAAGAAGGAAAGAATGTGTTTCCGTGTGCGTGTGTGTGTGTGTGTACGTATGTGAGTCGTGCGTACGCGCGAGCGTAGAATAAAACACGATCGGCGACGCGATCATCGATATTCGTGTGGAAGTTCATCGCACGAGCCCAAGAGTAACGGCATCAATCCTTCGGTTGGATCTTCGTATGTACATACTTCCTTTGATTATTTAATAAACATTATTATTTTTACCATCTAACTCTGTTTTTTTATACCACAATATTAATAAAGTTGCTTCTGTATAGTACAAATATCTATGAGATTGTTGTCCATTAAAATTACTCGACAGTTATATTAATACAAAGTTACATTCAGTTCTAAAGTTTAAATTGAAGGGTTTTTCTTAATAATTGTTTAAATTTCCTTTGTGCGGACACTTCGCGTTGTAAATTGTTTTCTGTTGATGCTACTGCCGAGAAGTAATAGGATTCAAATCTGTCATGTTTTTAATAACAATTCCCTTAACAATGAAAATATTCCTCGAAAAAGGATATTTAACTTTACATATAAAATTGGATTTACTTTCCCATTACTTTGTAAAAACTTTAACAAATTGAAACCGTCACGAATTCCTGTCATTGTTTGTGTCGCATAAACAAAACTTTGCATGCTAATATATTTGAAATTTGATAATAACAATCATTAATCAACACTGTTTATACAAGATAATTGTTGTGCGAGATGCATGCAAAGGAAGCCAATCGTAACGAAGATCACGGTACACAATAAAATGAAATATTGATATAACGATGGGATCGTTACGATGAGAAAACAAAGCACGGGTGTTCTGTTTTCCGAAAGCGATAATTATTTCGCAAAGCATTAATATCGCTAGCGTGGAAATGTCTGGAAAATTCCAATTACGTAGTTTTCCTCACTTAAAGCGCGATCGTATTCAGAAATCGTATATTCGTATCGCCACCAACGCGATTATCTGATTTGAAAAGGCGAACCGAGTTATATGACTTTCGAGGGATTGTATTTTCCGCGCGAAAATTGGGCAAAAATGGTATTGAAATCTATTGCCGGCCCGGAGATTCGACTAAAAGGTATCGCTCTTTGCATCGCGCCGGCGGATTTATTGTTATTATTATAACGATGGGGCGTGTGGAAATCTCCATGCATTGTGATAATTTTCTATTATGCACCCTGAATAATGCTCAATCTCTATTGAGTCGTATATATTCAAGCCTTGCTTATAACGCAGAGCATCTTTTGTGTTACCTCTTGCAGGACGTTCGGGTCTGAAACGTTTGGGAAATTGGTATCATGATGCGATAAATCTTTGTAACTAACCATAGATAAGTTTGCCTATAGAATCTAAATCTAAATTGTGGTCAGCATTTGTGTACGTATTCTATTCGTGCTATTTTGCAATCTAATTACACCGTGCTTAATTTACTTACTATTGAGAAGTTAAACTTTAAAAACTCTCGTATTTTATGTATTTAATGTTTTTACAACAGTCAGTGAAATTTACTTACAGGGCTTACCCAAATAAGGAGAAGTACAAGTGCCTCCAAACCAAATCTATCTTCACACATACAATTCGATAGATCTCTCGAAATAACCCCTTTTTATCAAGTTTTAAGTCCCCAGCCCTACTATTAGGCTAGCTACAAGGTGAAATGCTATACACAGTTTATGCTTGATATTTTATATTCGGTTTGATAAAAAATTATAAAAATATCATAGTTATTCTAGAGGTGGATGCATTTCTAGGAATTTTTCAGAACTTTAAACTGCAAAATCGATTTTTAAAAAATTCAGAAAAATTGTAAATGCTAAATTTTTATTTAATGGATATTTTATTAAATGGAATTACCGTCTTATTATGACTATCGACACTCTATTTTTTTATATTTTTCAGATTGAGCGAACGTAGTTAAAAAAAATAAAAACCGATATTTTTCTACATTACTGGCCGAATTATGCATACTGCCGTATTCATATTTCTACAAATATTGTAATTTGTTATAGTTATAAATTTATAAATTTCTCCGATTTTTTAGCTAGGTGTATTATAGTTAAAAATGTTAGTAGGTCTAGTGGCTTAAAACTTGATACAAAGGGATTTCTTCGACAGACCTAAGGAATGGTATATGCGAAGGTCGATTTGATTTGGGGTTACTTTTACTGCTCCTTATTGGGCTATGCTCTTTATACAGTTTCGTCTTTTCTGTAGCAATGACCACATTGGTATATTTCTATAGTGTTAATTTACCATTAGAATGTACCATTATGATTGACACTACGATAAAAAGTAAAAGGAAGCTTAATAATGTTCTTTTAAATAGCAATCCCAAAAGACGGTGTTAGGTTATACTATCACGATCGTAATTTAAGATATCTACTAGAAAATTTGTTAACGAACTCCTACCAATTGATTAATCATTTTGAAAAGACTGTCAAAGAATCGTCTACAAGAAAATGTTAATATCGTTTCCCCGAATCCAAACCGTATGACCGACGATATGCTTAATAAAATGATATACATAACAAAGTCCCTTTGACTGCTATGCAGTAAAGTTAACTTGAAGTTGAAAAATACAGGGCGAATGTGTAATAACTGAAACCAGTATATCAACTATATTACCATTTCCGTTCTTCCAAGCCCGGATCGATCCCCTAAAATATTGTCCAGCAATTAAGAATCATCCTGCGCGCTCCCGTCATCGCCGCAATTAAATAAGACTTATGACATTTCCGAGCACAATGCGTGGCGAATGTTAAAACGAGCAGCTCGGGGGACGTAAACTCGCGAGAAATTTACGATGATTTAAATTACACCGAATATTCCTTGATTGAAAGCGTGGACCCAGCTGTTTGTCGTTCGTTTTACACGTTAATTATCGTCCATATAAATTTGTCGCTTCGGTTGCGTTTGCCGAGCGCATTCGTGCTTCAGCCGCCGCGGCGCGTTGCGATAGAAATTGCACGCGCGTGCGCGCGGAAAAGGATAGATACCGTGCTTGATTTATCGGCGAACGTTAGACAACGGATGCATGGCTTCGTTGTTAATGCATCCTCGAGCCGAAACGGATTTTATTGTTCTCTTATTGGCTGCGATCGACAGAATTAACGCTTGATTCCCTCTAGCGTACCAAGGTACGGTCGGATCACCATCAGTCACAATCTAGGATGTTATCGAGGCGTTCACACTAAACGACCAGATACAATCAAATCTTGTAACAGACTCTGCACTATGGTAGTAGATAAAAATTAATGAAAGTAATCTACGTTTTCGAAATTTCTTTCGTATTTCGATGTATACTTTCGTTTCATAGAATAAGACCCAGTACTATCTGTATTCGAAATCTTATAATTGTAATTTTGTACAAATTCTGCTAATCGCACTTCATTCAGAGCATTTGTAGACTGTTCATCATTCATAGTTGACGACTAAGTTAACCCATTTTTATCATGCGCGGGATTTTCCTTACCATTATGACTTTGTTTTTTTATTAACTCCAATGAACTTCGCAATTTGTCCCATAGGTTCATTCGGCAAATTTTTATAACAAAGTTATGCAAGATGCCAGTATAACTACAGCGCATGTATGTACCATTCAGGTTGTGAATAGATAATGGTGACCGCGAAATAGCGGGATATATTTTTCATTGTGGCATATGGGCATATTTTTCATTTTTTCGTCTGATATAATAATTATATATTCTATAACAAATAATATTTATAATAATGAATCTTAATTTGACTAGCCCATATCGTTAACTGTGGATGGTTTGGTTGCATTACCTAATAAAAAAGCAGTTAAAATTAACAATTTGGCATTAAGCTTTAATATATTTAACATTTACTACAGCTTTAAAAACGTAGAACCCAGTAGTTACTTTGTTCAATTTTTTAATCAAAAAATAAAAAAAATGCTTCAAACATCTATGTAATATCATAAATTTTTCACTGAATACCTTCCCAATACTTTTAATTGAAAAATAAATTATGCACTTCTCTGCAGTCGATCTCAAACGACTTATTAGAATCATGCTATGCGATATCAACTCGATACGAGCTATTTATCTGTGGAAAACATTACTGTTCCGTTTTACCTGACCGGTCCGTTTTATCCTACTTTCTCCTATCAAAGGCTCGTTGACAAGCGTTAGAATTCATTTGTTTCGCCCACCTTCTTTCTGGCACACGTTATGTACCCAGAGGTCGGAATTTTGACGCGTCGATGAAAGAACGCGGAACAAAGACGATTTCTCCCGGACGAAACGGAATTGAATGTTCAATAATGAATGAGCGCGTGCTGAGTGATCGACGCGAGTACCAAGAGCGACCAAATAGATCCAGTTCAATCTAAACGTCAAGCGCTATCTATACTTTCGGATTTAATCTTGGTCTTTTATGCCTTTTATTGGTGATATGACTGTGGAGTGAAATTTAGGGCGTGTGAAGTTAATTTCGTAAATAATTTATAAATAATGGAATATTATACATCTGACCCTCGATATACGCAGATTTTTTACGCGAGTCTCTGTTTCATGCGGTAAATTATAACACTATTTACGCGGTAGTTTTTATGCGCGATCTTAATTCACGCGATTCGAATTTAGTAACACTAGATAAAATGTACTTTTGTTATCTGAAATGTCATTATTATTATTTCTTTTATTTGGCTATGTGAAATGAATATGTATTTTCAAAACTTACACGAGCTTTTCTTCCCAATATTTTGTTTTCACCTGTATCGACAGACTCTATTTCCGCGATTTTCATTCGCGTAAAATGAATCCACGTGGAACGGATTTTCGCGTAAATCGAGAATCGGGAGTATATAAAAAAGTAAAACATATGGAAGTAGAATAATCTAAATTGAATAGAAATATGTTTGTTTTGTACGTGCTTAAACGATTTTACCGAAAGATTAATTTACTATAAAAATAATTAATTATTGAATGAAATTCACCGAAATACGGAAAATAAAGATATTATAAGTATGTTTATATCTATCAACTAAACGTCGGTGAAATCTAATATTATTAGTAGGCTGCGGATCTTTCTGCAAATTCTAATTTTCAAGAACGTAATTAGAAAACTATAATTATAATGAAAAATGATTTTTCCTAACAAATGTCATGAAAAGCACTAAACTTTAGATATTTTATATATTTTTTGTGTCGTATGCATATTGTACAATTCTGCACAAAACGTTAAGAGACTAACTTTTACTAAGGAAATGAACATTTTTTTCCAAAGTTCAAAATATCATATACTTTATGGAGGATGATTGGATATTTGGCAAGATGAGAGTAGTGTTATTAGGTTTTTCATAACTTAGGATATTGTTTACATTTTTAATGAAGACATAATATTTTTACCGTAAACTTTATAAATTATATGTATATCTTTGGATTTAAATGTTCACAGATACATATTTACGGAGAATAAACCCCATACATTTATAGTTAATAAAAGGAGCTGGCACATCAGTAGTTTGGATAAACTGTTATTAATCGAAAGTATTACTTCATCTACGAAAAATTTATTTCACGAAAAATCGATGCTTTACGATAAAATGAAAAATTTAATATTTGAAATAGGTTAAAGCTTCTTCTAAATCTGAAATACACCTTTTACGAAACCAAGTTTGTTATTTAGACGATTTACTTCAAATTTTAAGTGGATATATCATGTGTCATTAAGAAGATTTTGGTTTGCTGAATTCCTTATTTGATTAATAATTTAATAAAAGTCGGGATTTAAAAGTGGATACGGCATATATCTGGAATATACACATAGCATATCTGAAACTAACTCCAGTGAGTGTAATATACTTGTATGTATAGACCAATTAATAATCGTTGTCCATAATGTGATTACAGTGATAAATGAGTTATAAATCCAATGCTATTTATATATTTACTGAAAAAGAATTCCGAAAAATCGCTAGTTTCTTAGGAAACACTACTAAGTGTTCTAGGTTAACTATGTTATGTATTAAGAAACATACTGGTTGTCTACTGACAATGCATTTAATTGGAGATTGACTTATATGCATTCACAGTGGAATAGACAACTATTATTTTCGTAAAAATATCAAAACATGAAGTAATTTTTAACCACAAAAGTAGTTTCATCCAGAACTATTTCCTTTTCATAGAATATACTCCATTTCTGCAGGATATACAGTACGTGACAAATAATGAGACAGAAGAAAGTTTTCAAGAAACTAACGAAGATAAAATGGGTGAGAGACTTTGGAACTCTGAAGTATTGTTCCGTAACACTGAAATAAGGGGATTGACCTTAAGGAAGCTTGACTAATCTTAAATGAAATGTCTGATCTTTTTTAAATTTTAATTTAAACTTTCATTTGACACACTTGAGATGTTCTTTAATGAATCGAAACAGTCTCCTTCAATTGCAACGTCTTTCTGCCATAGTAATATAAACGTGCCAATGCTTTTCAGAAAGAAATGAAGAAAACGAGAGGAAACAAATTCATCGATCAAAGTTTTTATGTCTATTTCTCCTTGAAACAGTTTTTCAATCAAAAACCTACCTAAGTGCCTGAAGAAGTGACAACTTGCGAATGAAAAATCAAAAGAAGGAGGAGAGTAATGTATCGAAAACTTCGTACCTTAATTCTGATAATTTTGTACCAGTTTGTTTCGTACTGATCATAATGAGTAGATTATTATTTTAGAATCATTTAACAATGTTGAGTTTACTTAGTATCTATTTATCCTGAATGTTTAATACCTCCAAAAACTTTAAACGCGAGGAAACAATTAAGTAATGAATGTTGGTTTTTCTAACGATTTAACGAAGAACGTAAAACCTTTTAAAATAGTGTCTTTAATAATTATGGTTACAACTTACATTTCTTATCGAACCAAAACAAAATTTTTTTAATCAACGTCCTCCAATAATTCAAGTACACACAGTACTTTCACTAGATACAGTACTTTTATACGTATTTACCGTTGCGTTCATTACGCTATATCCATGTTCTAAACTGTATAAATATATCATAATTTTCTCTATGAATGATAAACGGGTCTTAATCAAATGAAATTATGTACACCCAGAAATGTTCTTCTGAATAGAAGAAATATAATGTAGATAATTTAAGACAGTAAGATCCCATTCGACGCTGCACAGTCAGTCAAATCATTATACTCGTACAATACAGGTTACAAAATAAAACGAGAAAGTGGTATATTTTTCTATTCGCTGGTTTGTTTCACCTATCCCCATTATTTACGCGTAAACCAGTTAACTGTGGAATTTAATTTAAAAAATGTCTCATTGTGCGCGCAATAAAGTCAAGTAATGAATTGTACAGGGTGAGACACTTAAAACCGGCCACCTGAATAACTTGGCTGCTATTGGTGATAGGAAAAAATGGATCAGGCCAAAATTATTTGGTATCGCGGGGCTGATCATCCGAAGTTACTAGTTTTTTAATAGGTGGAGGCGTCAAGGGCATATGAAGGTCATCTCTGTTTTTTTTAAACGGAACGGTATATTTTTTTACTTACATTCTGATAGAGTATTTCAAGACGAATACAATGACATATTGAAAAGGTCATTCGTGATCTCGGTTAAGCCAATTATGATGGAAAATAATTTACTTTGAGGAAATGGTAGAACACTTCCTTGCCGTCTCTGGTTGTTGATATTACTTCATCTTCGTCTCGTAATCTCTTGTTATGGGTTGTTGAACAGAAATAAACATTCAATCATGCTGTACGTTTCATCTGTACATATTATGATTAGTCGTATATGAGAATCTCTGTCGAGCAAAGTGTATCTCAAGTTTCCGAAATGCGTTATTCAATAGCGGAGAAAGTAGATACGGTTTTTGATTATGCGGAATGTCGCCAAATTGTACGAGATACAGTCCGTTTGTATACTGAACGGTTTCCCGAACGTGTTACACTTCACGATCTGCATTTATGAGTGGCCGGTTTTAAGTGTCTCACCCTGTATACTCATCAATCGCAGTGAAAATGTATCTATAACATATTCTGACAAAAAACTAAAGCAAAACGAAGAATAATTACATGTGTATCTGAAAAAATAACTAATTCATCGTTGAGAAGATTATTAGTATCGTTCTGAATTTTAAAATGGCGTGTATACCTGTTAAATGCAGTTAACTAGTTAAGAGGATCTCGTTTAATGTTGTCTCATTTAGTGCTTGGTATCTTTGGAACATATCCCCTGAATTAAATACTATCCGTCCAGATACGTAACGTTTGAATTCAAATAATTATTTCTATGGGTAATAAGATGGGACCATTTATACATAGCGTTCCATATTCGTTCAGACAGATTGTACTTCAAACATTCAACGGATAGCGGATGAAGTTAGCTGATCTTGCCTGAACGGCAACTATCGTGTGTCGGAACATACTTGAACGATTCTGCAGTTGTAAATCATTATGGCCAGCCTCTACCAACTCTCGAATTATGTTAACACTTTATCTACTGTAAATCCATTAATTGACTTTTCGATTGTTTAACAATCGGCGATCTATTAAAATTACGCTGATTTAAAACGAAAGAAATCAGAACGACATTACGATATTCCCTTATACAGTATTCTCGCGATCAGTGCCCGAAAATCGAACTACAACCGGACACCAATCGTACAGTGGCGTTGATTCCAAGTCAAGATAAGATTCGAGTCGAGTTTCTGTTTGTCCTCTGTAGAAGAGGATGGCACGAATGAAAAATGAAGAGATTCGAACTTTGGAACGATCAAAACAAACAGATGAATGAGAGGACATAAATGCAATATTAAACTTCTTTGTTTTTCACTATTATTGGCTGAAACTTTTATAAACTGAATTGTGAGGTTTTTCTTATTAAAACGAGCCCAAACACGATATGTTTTGGAACATCTTTAGTTATTTAATAAATTTCAATAATTTAATTTCTTTTAGTAAACCATAATTTGAGGTATGTCATGTTTGATTTTGTTATAATTAGAAAAATCTCACAAATGTGTTAATAAAAGTTCCATTTACAAAAACCTTTTTATAAAGATTTGATTTTTGCGTTAATATTGTCTCGCCAATAACTATCACTGTATGTTGATTTTAAAGTTACAAAGCTTTGCAAGTAAAAACATATACTTCTACGTGATGATGAAAACCGTATTGGTAGTTAATGAGTGGTTGCCTTGATCGGGACCGGTAGATAAAGTGACAAGGTTTAGACTCGAGAGACCTTCCTCGGCGAATGTAAGCTGGAACGTGACGATGTTGCTCTTTCTCTGAAGCGAAACGTGCCTGGTAGTGTAAACAGGATTTTTGTCCGAACTGAATAGTATAAACGCCGTTAAATAGGATCTTACTGCATTTATCTAACCGCTCTCACCCTTTCATTTTACAGTCCAATTAAAGAAACTAATATATCACTATTGTAACCTTCATTCTCCCGAAGCCTGAGCCTCTCAGTTCACAACAATAAGAACACACTACGCACAGCCATCTGTCTTCTTAATGATCACTTTACCGAAACATCAGATTAGGAAACTCCCCGTTTATGTACACGTCAGATACATTAGCGGCACGTTTTTGGGTGTCAGGGCCCTCATTGTTCGCGAAACGGTTGCGTCTGACATCGAAGCCCATAAGCAACGGTACTCGGGCTGCAGATGCGAGCTGAATATACATAGAGAGACCGAGTGGCGTTACGCGCGATGACGTCGGGGGATCCGCTTGGCAGATGCTACAGGATCTTAGGTGTCGCAGGGTTGCCCTGGCTCGCGAATCCGCACAGCCCGCCATTTCCATCCCCCCGCGCTAAATTTCTCTTGTCTTCATCTTACCTGACACGTCTCCACCCCAAGGGTCATGTTACCGGCGCACAGCATTTTCTGGAACACCGGCTCGTAGGAAGGTATCTTAGAAGCGCAGATACCTTGATTCACAATTGGTACCGATGTCGCTGTCAGCTGCGACTCACCTGGACCATCCTGGAATTCGATATTTCTTTCGTTTGTATTATGGTAGATTTAATCGATTCATTAACATTTAAGTACGGACGTGAATTTAATCTATAAGTATAAAAGTCTTACGGATTAATGTTACATATTCTAGTTTGCAGAAACTAATAAACACATTTATTGTACTTATTTGTTTTTACTTATTTTAGTAGCTTTACACGGCAATAGTATCAACTACATAACGAAAATTTCACTGTTTTCAAAATTCCTAATATTTTACATAGAAATCTGAGAGATCGCACGTCCATACTGAAAAGTTAATCGCCTTGATTAACTCGTTGCCCTATGATTTCTTTCACACCTGTGCTTGATGAAAGTACTTTAACGTTAATAATTTATTAGAAAAGAATAAGAATTTGGTACTTATTCTATTCGTCACGTTTACTTCAGACGATAACGATTGACAATAGAAAGGAAATGTTTATCTTATATTTAAAAAAATAAATAACATTTGGATTTGTCAAATTTAATTTCAAATTTTCATCATCTGTCTGACACAATATAAGGGGTTAATCGAGTCAATATTTCTTGTTATCTAGATTGTTAAAAAATGTGGTTACCCACAAACTCAGTAATTTGGATTCTTAAACTATACTTCAGCATATACAGGGTATATTTTGTGACTGGGACAGGCTATAACTCTAATCTTGTTGAAGTTGAAAAATAATATCTACCAAGATCTGTCGATTAAACTTTATTAAGCTCTGTCATACTACAATATCAATTTTTTATAAATGCATTGATCGAGTTGAAAAGTGCAATTGTAAATTTGTTTAATGAAACTCTACATTTTTGTACATAAATAATTTCTTTGTACCGTATTCTATAAACAAAGTTCAAACAATTATCACTGATATTGCCATGAACACTTTGTTGTATTGGAATCACTATCTTGCTATTTCATTTACTGACAGCGTGCTTTCAGTAAATATTCAAAGTAAGATATCTCGAAAAATATTGAATATTCAATGATAGTA